AGATAGATTTATATATATATTTATATTTATATGCATGTATGCCTATTTTGTTTTTAAATCATCCTCATTATTAATATGTACCTAGTTGGATTTTTTTTTTTGTTTTTCTTTAGAGAATCATCATCATCGCCATCATCATTTCCACAGCAGTGCCAAAGGAACAAGACAGAGGATCAGGAGGAAGAGGAGGAGGACAGGAAGGATGGGAGAAAAGTGGAGGAAGGGTGATGGTGGGTGGAGGGAGGGGGGTCCAGGGTGTGTGTGGGCGCGCTCAGTACAAGCCACACCCTCGGAGGTTGTTGGCGATGATGATATCGGTCACAGCGTCAAACACGACCTGGATGTTCCCCGTATCCGTGGCACAGGTCATGTGACAGTAGATTTCCTTATTTGGAGAGCGGTTCTTGCTCTCGAACTGTGCTTGGATGTAAGCTGCCGCGTCTTCGTAGGTGTTGGGTCCTGAATGAGCAGAAAACAGAGCAGGTTAGGATAAGTCTATGGTCTTTATGAAACATCGTCTTTAAATTTGTTTGCTTAAAAACATTCTGGGATAATAAGATTTTAGTCTGCTCAGTTCTACCCATTTTGAGCTCATTTACGGCCCCTTGTCATTTTAAATCCAAATAAGCTGCTGCTGGCCACGCCCCTCAAATCAACTTAAAAAAAGCTGTACAACTGTACATCTTTGAGAAGCAGAAGTGGAGCCTACTGCACAACCAACATGAATGCAGCAAGTGGTTTCTGGATGAGTCAACAAGTCAACAAAACATTTTGTCTTTTCCAGCAGTCATTGTACAAAGCACAGCAGTAAAACCAGCTCAACAAATGCGGTGGAGCTCTGCTTGGGTTGCTCGGTTGCAGAGCAGTTCCTGCTGATTTGTGATGTTTCATTCTGGGGTTTTTTGAAACCAGACACCAAAAAGCATCAACTTATTTCCAGATTGGTTTGTTTTTAGAAGCGGTAGAAACCCAAAAGAAAGTAAAGCATGCAATATGCATGCATAAAGCATGCAATATGTGAATTTTCCATAATACTTTTCCTTTAAGGATGCAAAGCTGCAAAACCCTCCAAATCCACCCAAGCATTTCTGTCATATTAAATGAAATCAGACAATGTGTTTCCAGTGATGAGAATGAGGAGTGTTCAGACATTTGGCTGGACAGAGAGGGAGAACCAGACGCAGCAAAAAGAAAAGGTGGAACCTGTCAGAAAGGCTGAGTGTGACTATCAGAGCAGCGTGAGAGACGGGTGAGTGTGTGAAGAGGCTTATCATAGCGTACCACGCACGTCTATTCCTTTTATCTGTCACCGCTACATCTGGCTCTCACTTCCACGTCAAGAAGTCTTTCTGCTTCCCTCTGCTGTTTCTGCAGACTCTCACTGTCAACAACTTTCCTCTCCTCCCTGCACTTGATATCATTTCTCCACTTGTGGAAATGCAGTAAAGTAAATCTCCTCTTGAAGTGAGGTTTTATGTTCCTCCAACCATCTCGATCTTCCTCTGTCTGCTGCAGACTAACTTGCAGCTGTAATCATACCGCAAGATTTAAAGTGGCACATTTTTCAGACGGTTTATAATGCAGAGACAGTAAATCCACATCTGAAGGTCTCATGCACAACTAATGCCCTCAATCAGGCAGCTGTTAATCAGAGGACAGACCTGAGGTTTTTAATTTCCAGGAAATCTCACTCAGACAGTAAAGATCAATCATTCGTGCTTTCGTATCCAGTTTTAAATGGAAGCAGGACGTCCACACGGCTCTCTGACAGAACAATCTTAAGGTTAAGGCTTCAGGTCAAGAGTTTGATCTCCAGAGTACGTCCAGCTGGATGAGCTCGTTTGCATTTCTGCCAAAAGCTGTTGGAGAAAATTGATTTTCTGTCCCAACAGGAAATATAAAACCATCACTGGCAGTCAGAACAGCTGAAACATAAAAACAGCTCTGACCAAAGGCAACTCAAAGTTTGTGTTCATCACAGTTTTCAATTGCAAATGAAACTGCAATTTATTTAGCAGTTTTAAGCAGGTATAGATAAAAAAAAGAAAAGTTTGAATCAGAATAAAATTTTGAGAAGTTCTACTGGACCAACACTGCAGATACAGCATGTATTTCTTGGATGAATCACTAAAACGGTGATTTTAGTTAAAAATCATCAATTTCTATTGTAAAACAGAGATCATCATTAAAAAAGTAAATAACTGATCTACATTCCTAAGCCATTCAGACATATTTTTTCTCCTTTGCCAAACTGGGACGATTCTTCCTGAGGTCATTTCACCTCCTGCTGTCTTTAAAATAAATGTGTGAGTGGCGTTTCCAGGGCTGGATAAGCATGAAGCCCTTCTGCCCCCATAAAACCGAATCTGGAAAACAGCTTGTTCCACCAGAGTCTGAAACATAGTCTTGTTTTCTAAAGCAAAAAGAAGACTTTACAAGGTAAATGCTCAGAAAAAGTCCTTCTAACCACACAACAGACAGGATAAAAAACAGATACTAATAATATTGATGAGACCAATTTTAGAATCAAGGACTTGATCGTTTGGGAAGGTAAAAGTGGTGATTAAGGTGCAAAATACCCCCAAAGGTTCTTGTTTCAGATCCCCAACAGGAGATTAGGGATAACCTGGGAATGTGAAGCTTTAATGTTTGCAGCTTCAAACAGCTGACAGCAGAAATTTATGCTTGAAATAAAGATATTGTTTCAACAATTCAAGCCTCGATGTCTCCAGATCAGGAGATAATGAAATGAGTTTCTCATGAAAGAAAGCTTGAGGTCTCATTTTTTTCAGCGGATTAATAGGATAATAAAGCTGCTGCCTCAAGAAAAAAACCCGCAAACAAACAAAAAAACCTTGATCTTGTTTTTTATAATGAGAAAATGGAGCTGTTATTGAAAAAATAATAAGTTTGACAGTTACAATGGAGATTGAAAGATTTCTCAAAAATGCATGAAAGAACCAAGGTAACACTGCAAGTATGTTTTTGATGAAGGAATAACATTATAATAATGTGATGCTGCCTCTTTAAGTGAACCAAATCTCACCTGTGTACTCTGGGAAACAGATGCTGAGTGGAGACTTCTTAATCTTCTCTGCAAACAGATCCTTCTTGTTGAGGAAGAGGATGATGGAGGTGTCGATGAAGAACTTGTTGTTGCAGATGGAGTCAAACAGCATCAAAGACTCGTGCATGCGATTCTGCGGACGAGGAAGGAAAGGAGCGGGGAAACGGTGAGAGGAGCGGGAGCAGACAGGAAAACGGGATGATGAGGACGGATGACAGGAAGATGAGAAAAAAGAGGGAATTATTAAAGTTAATAGCAACTCAACAAAAGTGAAGATTTACACAATAACATGTTACTATTAAAAGTTGAGCGAAAGAGTGATGGGAGAACAAAGAGGGAAACTTTTGTCTAGAATTAATGCTTCAACGTTTTCCTAAGCCTTTATGCTGCTCTCATTTGACTCGCACTCAAACGAGCGGCTGTTTTACTTGTTTACAGAAATCCTTTGTTGATAAATAATTACAGCTGTGGAAAAAAAGACAAACCCAGAAAAAGAAATCGGAGGAAGAGAAGCGAAGAACGAGAGCAACACTAATAAACTTCTTGATATCCAGGAAAAACATTTTAGGAGGGAAAATAATCACACATCTCCGGTTGCTCATGTGGTGCTTTATTATCACTGTCTCATGTATAAATACAATGTTCAATAAATTATCAACAGAGAGGGAGTTACAGCACAAACAGTTTAGCACTTGCACACATACAGTATATACACATCCATCTACAGTTTGTGCAGGTTTGCAGTACCTGGACAGTGTTTACAGTGTTGGTTGGCATGGACACAGAGTTAACTTATGGTAAGAGGAGAGCTGGGTTATGGGTGTGATGAGAAAAGGCACAGTTGATGCTCCGGAGTTCAATCTGCAGCCGGGAGGCTTCCTGCAGGAGAGCGAGCGACTCCTCGGCTTAAGTGCTCATTACGGCAAAGTGGGACTGAAAATCAGAAGACCGCTCATACTGTAAGGACGTGCAAGCAAGGTCACGGTGGGAGCTGCTCTGGAGCTAATAAGGAAAATATTTGGCACTTTGGTTTAGTTCTTCATCTGCAGCACTGAGACACATCAGCAGCTTGTTATGCTGCCGTTGTAGGGCAAAAACAAACAAACAAACACGGCACAAATGCAACCAATTCTCCGTGCTGCAGCCATCCAGCATTTTTTATCTGAATTTAAGATCCACACAGATAAACTACATTACCCACAAATCCCTATTTTATGCAGCCAACACAGATTAGATAAGTACTAATAAAGACCAAGTTTTGGTCTTGGCTGTTTGGCCCCGACACACACATCCACACACTGATTGGCTCATTGTTCTTCTCTCAGGGCTGTTTCCATCCTATCAACCCCTAACTGCTTTAGTGCTACAGTGCGGTACTTTATGTCTAAGAAACAATTGGATGTTCTGGAAGGTCAAGCTGAATGAGCAGATCACACTGTTCAATCAATACAAACACTATAAGTTGCACAGAAATGTTGGCTCTTCACTGTGTATTAAAGAAAAAACTTTCTACATGTTCAGTAATGTATAGATGAGCAAAACTCAAGGCTTGTATTTCTTATAAAGACATACATTTCAGTTATGTTTTTAAAAAAAAACCTGACTAAATAAACCGTAAGAAGAGAACTTCCAAAAGGTTTTACTAATACATTTTTAATTGGAAACTTTGGGATGTTTTGGTCCATTTCCTCATGTAATGTGGCTTTTGGTAAATCTTAAACTGCTTAAGCTGTTGTTGCTAAAGACAGTAAAAGGCATCAGGTCTTGACTTGTCTTTCAGGTTTCATTTTAACATGTCATTTTTTTTCCAATTAAAACAATAGGAAGGCTTTTTTCCAATTAGAAATAGTCATAATAATTACTGAACCTGATTGAAGAGGTAAAACTAACAATGAAAATATCTGAACTTTTGTGAATTCTGACAGGGACATTCAGTACAGCCAGAATCAAGGAGCTGGAGCTCAAACTGATATCGCAAGACTGCCTCACAGCAGAAAGTTCTCACTTTCTGCTGTGAGGCAAATAAAAATGAAGACTTTTATTTTATCACTGTGAACTGGAGCTTACAGAACGTCACGCAAATGGAAAATTCAGCAGGATGTCTTCCTCCAACTGGTGACAGATCTTTCTGTTAGGCACTAGAAACAAAAAACTAACAAAACTAGTAAACTGCGCTCATTTGCTACTATCCTATTTGAAAGCTTTTTCTGGCTTAATTCAGTGAAATTAAAAAACAACCAAAAATTAAGGCAAAATTTAACAAGATCAATGTTTGTTGATGAAAAATGTTGACAGTAAGGTGCATTCTTTGGATTTGGAGACCTAAGAATTTAGTTTTCATTAAAAATAATGAAACAAACAAAAAAGAATATGCAACTTCTGCGGATTTAGATGGAAAGTACCTTCCATATAAAAGGAAGGAGAACTTTATTACTAAATAACTTTAATGCACAGAATTAAGTCATTTTAATTACTTGATTGTGCATTAAAATAAACCAGAATAAACAACAAAAAAATAATAAAAAACAAGAATATAATCATTGTTGCACTACCTATCCTACCAAGAGATTTTAAGGACACATTGCATCATCACTCTTACACAAACGGCAGATTTTCTGTTTGCCAAATCAACCAGAATCCATCTGATGCTTTTAGCTACGAACGATGGGAACATTTTGGCAAAGGAAGGTGTGGCGACATTTTAAAAACCAAAGGGCCGTTCTGTGCGTTCAGTGCCTGTGCTGCTGTGTGAGTTTGTGTTGGCGTAAAGGGTAGACAGGTGCCTTGCGGGTAATTAATCCACAGATACTGACTCCACCATTGCACCCCTGAGCTGATGCTGCCTCCCAACACAACACGTACACACATGTTTGTGAGCTGACCTTTCCTATTCTGTTAAATGACACACACACTATTAACTGTACGCAATCTGCAAACACACAGAAAATCCACAAGCAGAATCATGCACAGCAGGCCGATCAACAGCCTCGGGGAGCGCTCCGTCGCTAATTAGAAAATTTGGCGCAGATGTGGAAAGATGAGCTAATGATGTCATCTACCTGTTTAAAAGTGAGGCAGAGGATGGGAGTGATGAAGCACGAAACACAGCAGTAAATCCACTCACATCAGACACATTTTGTTACTGCAGAGTTTCCATAAAAAAAAAACAATTAAAATTACGTGAATGAGTTTGTTTGTGATAAGTTATTAAAAACATGGCTGCCCCATTATTCTCCAACTACTTCCTGTCGTCTTTTTTTGTGCCAGTGGCAACATCTGATTGTTCGTCATGTGAGTCATGATGCATAAAAAGTTTTCCCATTACAGTTTGGAAAAATAAACCAGTTTTGATCTCCGCTTCATAGCGCCAAATCCTTTCATTGAAAGTTGAGTTTTTGCAGAAGTGGTGTTTTTATTAAAATTTTTTAATTTTGACATCTTGTTTGGTTGATAAAAAGCACGGGTAAATAGACATCAATTGGAATTTTATCACAATAAATGATATGATAAACAGCCACTCCTATCTTACATTAACATGTAATAATCTTCAGTCTGAACCCAAATCCCAGCCATCTACTCGCTCCAGGTTTCAGTCTTCCAAAGCTCAGCTCTGGGTTTTTTCGGCGGACAGTAGGAGTGTTACAGAGAGCAGCCTCAGATAATGGCTGTAGTCTCAGGGCGGGGTGAAATCGATGCATCCATCCAGCCACTATCTGTAGCTGCCTGGCTGAGTCAGCTTTCCTAGCCCTTTGTTTTAAGTGGTTTCATAATGGAGTCGTTCACACTGCAACATGAGGCAATGATGCAACCTCCTCCCAGCTCAGATCCTGTTTTCCTCCATATACATCCTAGTTGTTTACAAATACAAAACAAAAGCACACAATTGATAAATATGTAAAAAGGAATATTAGAGTTGAAAGTATTTACTTTCGGTTAAAACGGGGAGATTTTAAATAATAATGTTCTCTGTTTAAAATAGGGTTGATTCTCAGATCTCTTGCAAGATCCTATGTCTCATATCAGAAGCCAGAGGAAAACTAGTCTAAAATGGTGTTCATTATTTAGAAATGATAAAAAATACTCCATGTCCAGACAGAACATTACTGGTCACCATGCAGAAAACAGTGTAGAGAAACGTGTGACGTTCCTGTTATTCATAGGAGATATGGACAACAGCCACCAACGAACAGCTAAAACATCCCCTGAAATGTTTATAACTCCCTACTTTAAACACTAAATACACCATAATATATATTATCAATCTTTACTAATAATATCAGATGTTTTCATCATTTCCGCTCTCAGGAGTTACAGCTACTCTAGGAAAAATAGGATTGGCTGCTTTGCAAACGATGTCAATGAGCATCACGTTTAGGTATTTTAGCTTCTCAAGCTACATTTTGTTTTGAATAATTTGCAGTCACGTTCCACAAAAAATCTATAAATACAAAGACATAGCTAATGCGGGAGTGTTCAGTTATAACCGCAGACATTAGCTTACGTTTGTCTTCAGAGAGCAGCTAACTGTGGTAGCAAAACAACCCAATTTTCTGGTTGCTATTGTGTTCAGTCACCATGACAAAGATCACAGAGTATTGTGTGTGTGTGATTGATTCAATGAAATGCAAACTCAGCAATGCAAAAAAATCAGGTAATTATAGGAGCTACGAATACACATGCAGCAGCCATGTTGGATTCTGAACGAGGTTGGTGAGGAATCTCGTGATATTTGGCCAAATAGAATGAAGCATTAAGCAATGGAAATTTCTTACAACACTATGTATGCATTAACAAACTTGTTAAGCTTTTCTCACAATTGCCCCTTTACAGAATGAACCAAGACACCATTGTGTGGTATGAAGGCCTGAGACAGAGGGGCTGGGACAGGGAACTGGGGTCAGGTAAGGTCAGAAACATAGCAGTACACAGCGGGAGTGGTTCAGGACTAAACAAGCAGAAATTTCAGCCAACCAACCAACCGAGTTAAATCAAGCTGGACCAACAGTCTGCTCTGTAGTAAAGGAGGACAGCATTTGACCAACTCTCACAGGACGACCAATCGAATTGGCCCAAAACACGTGACATAACAAGGTACCACAGAAGTAAAAGCATCCGGTCAGTACAAGCCGCAGCCCCGCAGGTTGGTGCCTATGATGACGTCTGTGACAGAATCAAAGACGAACTGGATGTTGTTGGTGTCCGTGGCGCAGGTCACGTGAGAATACACCTCCTTGTTGGGCGACTTGTTCTTGCCTTCGTACTGAGACTTGATGTAAGCAATCCCGTCTTCGTAATTATCTGGACCTGGAGATGGGACCCAGAGAGAACAAGAAGCAGGAGTTACGACCAGTTTCACAGATTTTTAATTTGTTCAGTTTTATTTTGTTTTGACTTTTTGTTTGTTTAATTCAGTTAGTTTTAATTGAAACAAACTGAAGTAGTTCAATTAAGTTAGTTTCTAGTTTTTATTAGTTTGGTTTCAGTTTAGTTTATATTACTTTTAGTTATTTCCTACTTTGGTTAATTTTCAGGTGAAGAAGTCAGAAAGGTTGCAGTATTATGTTGTGGTACATCGATAGGGTAATGAGTACGCAACAGAAGATACTGTTTTCATAAAATGTAGTTGAATGCCGTTTTATCCCAACTTTTGCTTTGGCCATTTTTCAGACCAGCCGTCATTTTGTGAACTGGTGTAATCGCCGCCAGGAAGACCAGGAGTGTTGTCATTTCCTGACAATTAACATAAACCACTTGTACGGGGAAAAAAAATCACTTTGAACGACTAATGAATAAATTCAGAAACAAAAAACATTATAATTCCAATTTCAGCTTATTTTCATAATATATGCAGAATATACTTCCAGCTAGTTCCCCCTATTAATTACTGTTTTTCTTTACTTCTGTTAATGAAAATGTTTCAGATTTTATTAGTTTGTTTTGATACTGTGGTTACGACGGGGCTTTTGATGCATTTTTCATCTGAAGCGTTTAGATCTGTGAACTGCCTCCTACTTCCCATTATCCCCGTTTTTTCCTCCATCAGCGCTATTTTGTGATTTTCTTTCTGAAAACCGAACCTCTGACTCTTGAGCTCAGCAAACATTGTGCTGAGGTGTGCTGAGCTCACTGCCAGCGCGCTTTAATAAACGTGATGCCTGGACAACTTTCTGAGACAAACTGCAGCTGTGAGTTTGCTCCAATAAATGGAAAGTGATGGACATTAATACGTCCCGTTGTTGTTGCCGCAGTGCGCCGCTTTCTCCTGGATTACTATGATAAACCAGCAGCTACAGAACAAAACTCTGGCAGTTCTGACAACCTGAAGCTAAAAACACTGGAGTCATTATTTGCACAGTGAGTGTGGTGATAAGTTTGACGCCGGAGCCAAATCCACGGTGGCTCCCTTCAGGTCCAGTTCATAATTAGCTGTTGGGGCGAGCGCCGCCTTCTGCCAGCTCTTGGCTTGCTTTGCTTTATTCTCATGCTCTTAAGACGAGTCTGATCTCAGTGAGTGGAGTCATTTTTGGTCCAAGCGTCGCCGACGTCTCGGTGGCTCTCGGCCATCAGCAGGCGCTGCCTGTCTGCTCCGGCAGGAAGTTGGTTGGAACCGGCGAGTCGGAAGGGATGGAGAGGGGAAGGGACAGCTTTGGAATCCTAATCTCTTCTTTCTCACAGCTCTGCTGCTTTTTGTCTTTCTGGACCCTTTTTTCCCACAGTTTTTTTTCTTCCTGATTTTCCTCCCACTCTCAGGCGATTTCATGTTTAGTTGTTTTGTCTCGTGTTTTCTCTTGTCTCACACACTCAGGCCCTGGCAGTTTGGACCCTGGGAGCCCTGATTTCATCCTCTTCTGCGGTTTTCCTTTTTTTACTCTTGTAGCTCATCCCTCATAGGATTCATAGTCCCCAGTTGATCTGTTTTGGTTGATACCATGAACCTGCAGCTCTGTTGTCTAAAATGTAGCAGAATATTTCCTCCTTTTTGTGTAAAATGGCCACTGTGATTCCTCAACTCTTACTAGTTGTAGAAAAATAAGAAAAATAGAGAATTCTAATTTAATTTCAATATATAAAGGTTTTGCTTTCAGAAAAAATTATATTTAAGTATATTATTTAGCGAAATGTTACTTCTCAGAACATCCTGCTCAAGTAGATTGTTTTTCATTTGGGCTCTTTGTACTTTGAGTCTTAATTTATTATGACTAATGTTGTTGTAAATGTGTGCATGTCATCAAGAAAAATTATTTAAGCATCCAAAAACACATAAATAAATCTGCAAATAAATTGTGGGTAAACTTTTTAAAGTGAACTGAAATATTAAATTAAAATCCATAAAGAAATAAAGGTCTTGTTTCCAGGACGGAGAGCCATCTAGTGGTTCAAACTGAAAACTGCAGGCAACTTAAAAGCTCATTTCTTTAAAAAAATTGGATTTCAGAATAAAATCCAATTTTTAATAACGGGGAACTAATGTCAATAAAAAAAGAAATAATTCACTTGATTAACATATTTTCTTTGTCTTTATAGCAAAGCAATATTGCGAATATGTTATTCCTTTTGTCTTTTATCTTTATCCGTCATCGATTTTTGATTCATATCTGTACACTGAGTGTGTGAAACGGAAGTCAGATTCCTTATTTGAGCTCCGAAACCAACAGATGCTAAGATGGCTCAAAAAATATCCCCAAAAGAAACGTTTTTTTTTTTCGACAAGTTGGTGACTTTCTAATGTTTTAACGAGAAACCAGCATAAAGGGAACCGTCACTGTGAAGGATGTACCGGTGTATTCTGGGAAGCAGATGGTCAGCGGAGACTTGACGATCTTGTTTTCAAACAGGTCCTTCTTGTTAAGGAAGAGGATGATGGAAGTGTCGTTAAACCACTTGTTGTTACAAATTGAGTCGAAGAGCTTCAGCGACTCGTGCATGCGGTTCTGCAGGAGAGAGATCAGAACATGTCAAACGGGACAGAACTCAACGAGAAGAAACTCCAAACTGCAGAATATGATGACGTGTGCAAAGGACACATAATCTGAGCAAAAGGAGGAACTGTGATGAAAACTAAAACCAAAAAGCAGAACAGAAGTTTGGGGGAGTTCCTCGTAAAACCACAGTTTGCGATCTGAGTTTGTGTGTTAACGTTTTATATAAGCATGCAACATTCAGAAATGATAAGTAAGACTCACTGGCAGTGAGCTTAATGAAGCCATGCATGTTGAGATGTTAGCTGTGTGTTAGAGTCTGCTCTAACGGCATCATGTTAAACTAAAACAAACCCTGTGAAGTTTTTCACCAGTAGGGGCGCTACTGAGCAGTTTGATTAAACCTGACTTGTCAACTGAAGACGAATCAGCCCAGTAATTAGTGAAGGGCTTTAAACAATAAAAACTTTTTAAATTTTGTTTATATCAAAACTAGTTACTGGGAGGAAGAAGATGAGTTTCCAGCTTCTGGAAATGTCTTCCCAAAGCTTGAACCTTTGGGAAGGTTAATGCTTTTGGATTATTTTGAAACGCTCCAATTAAAAATGAGAGAGCTGGAAATCCCTTCTTGACTACAAAAACAGTGCAACTTTATAGGAGCCTGAATCTGATTGGGGCTTTGTGTATAATTTTGACCTTCTGTTGTAATAAATCCAACTGGTGGGGCCAGGATATGTTGCCTAATCACATCAATTTGAAACAGGAACAATTTAGTAAATCAAACATCATCATAAAATGACGGTGATGATGAGTGGGTGAAAACATCAAACCAGAACTGTATGTAGTTAAACGATCACAACAATAACTCCACAGGGTTCTAATGTAGAAATAAGTAGAAACATTAAGAGCAGATGTAAAAGCTGCTAAATTAACGTTGCAGCTGCTTTGGTTATGAAGCATCAAATATTGTTTATTACATTAAGCCAGAATACGTGATAATTTTTTCTTTCACAAAATTTCCCATGCTTAATTTGTGTTTTCTGTGAATCATTGCCACCGAATTATTCACATCTCCTCAATCCACAAGAAATGGTGGATTGAGGAGAAAACTAACTAGATGTTTCAGTGGTTATTTATATGACAGGTAATAAAAACAGACAGATTCCTTCAAACTGTGAGCTGAAAGCAGTTTCTCTCTGGTTCTGATCCAACATTAACTTGAGGAGACAGAGATCGATGAGATCCATCGACCAGATTCACGAGAAACGACTGTTAGAGTTTCACCAACGAGGAAAAGGAAGAAGAAAGATCTATTAATAGAGATGCACCTTTTCATTTCCGATACCAATATCTGAGGTTTACCGATCTGGTAAAAGAAAAAAATCAAACAGCTGAATTGACTCAAAACATTTATTTATTTATTTATTTTTTTAAAATGCAGACATATACGTACTAAATTAGGAATTTATTTGATAATTCGGCCCGAGTACAGCTCACTTAAATACACCAACAGCTGCACAAGCTTGGTCAGAAATGTAAAAACAGCTTTAGTTTGTTCGGTCAGTGCAACTAGGAGTAAAACAGCCAATGCAAAATAAATAATGAAGAAACTGAAAAACAACACAATGACCACCTTGGTCAAACGTAAAAATAAACTGCAGCAAATCAACTTTCAAATGGCTCAGAAAGTACAACTAGGAATTGTAAACATAATGTAAAATAAATAATAAACATAGAATTAGGCTGAATAGATCTGCCTTCATGAATCGGGAACATTGTCGCCGATACTCGATCTAGAATGTCTGTCAATATCGGGACCGATACCGATATTAATAAGGGATCGGTGCATCTCTAGCTATAAAACAGAGGAAACAACAAACACAGAGAGGACCTGCTTCCAGCCGCTAAGGTGAGTGTGTCGACCTATTTGGAGGTTTTCATACCTGGCTGTGGGTGGAGCATCTGCATCTGACAGCTGATTGGTTAGAGAGGACAGTCGGTGGCGACAGTGACAAGAGGAGTAGAAGGAGCCAGAGATGCTGCAGGGCGGAGCTTAGAGAAGGAACAGAAAAACGCAAGGGACCCGCCCCCCGCGTCCGCGTCCCCTCCCCTCCTCAACCCGACATGCTAATGCCAACACACATCCGGTGCTGCAGAGAGAGTGTTCACAGGGCAGGAAGGCAGCGTTCACAACCAGCAGTCGTCATTTCAGAGAACACGATGAAGAGGAGCAACGACCAAACACAGTACATGCGCATCTGAAGAAGAAGGAAGGGAGTGACAGAGAGTAAGTGGTGCAGGGCGTGTTTGTACCAACAGACACCGATTGGAAACCAGTCAGAAGCTGGGAGGCGGAGCCTATCAGGAGCTTTTCCTGTTTTTACCAGCAGAGAAAACATAAACCAAGCCGCTCAAAACTTTCCTGGAGCAAAAGGTTTTAATATCTGATGGTAAAACAAAACAAGGATCCTCCAACAACGGAAACATAAAAGAAATTTACAAAATGGATAAGATTCAATTAATTAACATATGAAGAATTTTATAAGTAAGTTTAGATGAAATAAAAAATTTTTGTGATACTGACGTGACCATAAATTTGTTATGAAAGTATTACTGCTTACACTTTAAAAACTATATCGCTTTATGTTATCAAATCTAAAGTTTAATCACTTTTATAACAAATTTATGTCAGATCATAATTTCTTGGTTAATGACAAGTTGTCATAACGAAGACATTTTGAATAATGGGAACTTTGTATTAAAAGTGTCATGATTTACCGAATGACACTTTATGACATGTCATAAATATTCATGAACATGTCATGACAGTGTTATGACATGTTTATGACGGTGTTATGACATGTTTATGACGGTGTTATGACATGTTTATGATGGTGTTATGACAGTCTTATTCACACCCCGTCAAATAAAGTGTTACCCATTTTTGTGAGCAAAACTTTCCACTTAAGAACTTAAGAGTTTTATGGTTTTTAGTGTTTTTCTTTTGCTCTCTGGTAGCAAAGAAACAACATTTTGCAACCAAATTCACTGTTGTTTAAGTCTCATCTAATACAGTAAGGAGGCAAATACTTTTGCTCTGCACAGCAGATGACTAATCCACTAAGTTAATATTCAGCTTGCTTTCCAGTGCTGTGACACACATCAGCTCTGTTACCTGCTACCCACAGGTCCTTTCACAGGTATTTTGACATTATAAAACTACACTCCTCCCTTTTATCAAAGTTCAGCCTGTTTGCATGCAAATGTTCCTTTTATGAGTCCAATTATTGAAATACAGAGACAGGAGGCTCTGTATTTCTCTGCTTCAGCTCATGAAGCAGGTTATATGCGCTGGTGCTAAAATCTAACATTCTGGTTCAAGATTTAAATGGTTTATAGGTTATTACTGTCTTGACATATCGCTTTTAGCTGATCCCAAACTGTTTTGGGAAAGAGAGACTGTTAACCTGAAAAGTTCAGCGTATTGCAATACAATATCAATTCCTTCACATTTTGTCATCGTATGACCAAAAACTACACCAGTAAAACACTGGGTTTTACTGGGAGCTGAAGAGGTGAAAGCCATGTATAAATTCTGATGTAGGAGAAATATTATTAAAATAAAAATCTGAAAAGTCTGCATTTGCATTCAGCTGCATTTACTCTGAAAAAGGAAATGCTGTGCAGCTTAACTAGCAAACAGAATCAGAAATCCAGCTGTCCCATGAAGGCATCATAGTTTACCAGAAGCCATGTGACGGTAAGTTCTCACATCACAAGACCAAAAATCAGCTGTGGCGTTGAAACGAAAACATCAGAGCGCAATTTGCTTCTTCATAAAATATAAACATAGACCAGATTTTAGCGGTTATAGGATTTACTTTTTGTCTTTGGTAAAAGACCACAAACCATTTTTCTTGCAGGCATTAAACTTTTGCATGCTTTTAGGTCGCGTTTACCCAGAATGCCTTGTGCTGTAGTGGTCTCTGGTTCACTTTGTGTTCACATATGTATTCAAATCGCAGCAGAGTTTTTTGTTGGGCTTCAGAGTGTGATTAGCATTCACACTTCACCAAACAAACTGGTCTATTCAGACAAACAGACTGGAGTTGAATTGAAGTGGACTGAACACGGCTGGAAATAAATGCAGACAAAACTTTTCAGAATTTATCTGTTAAAAAAAAAAAAAAAAGGAAACCAAAATAAATAATTTTCAAATCAATATAATTGTCTGGTTGGAAAACACCTGAACCAGAATAACAAAATAAAATCATAAAATCACTGAATAATAGCCAGGAGTGAAGATGGATTCAAATCCATTTTCCGCTGCTTCTTTGCCGCTACAGGCAGATTAGCATCATAAGAAAAGTTGCTTGCTAATTAAAACTCCAGCAGAGCAGTGAGTTTAACAAGCTGCAGGATCGGGTTATGTGTTGCTTCCTCGGTCCAATTACTGGGAGGTCCTTCGCTTTTTCTTCCAAGTTGTGGAAATTTTTGCTGGACTGGAGGCTTTCGGTAGTAAAAACAGAGAGAAGGTTGGAGCCAGGAGGAGAAACATTTGTCTGCTAATTAGAACTCCTACATAATTTGTAGCTTAGCGATAATAAAAATGGATAACAGAAGATCAGGTCTGTACAAAGCATCCCTGGGTTTCTGTGAAAACTTCCCAGTTTTGTCTCACTGCAAGTGCCTCAGTTTACTGATGTCTAACAATTACAGAAACGGCTGTGTTAAATGAGTCACTAAAGTTCCTCCATTTATTTCTTCCATGATGGATTGTTTCTCCCTGTGTGGTTATGAACCAATCCTGGGGATTCTAGTGATGCTGACTGCAGGCGAAGATTCTCTCGTATTCACAACATTGGCTGCATTTCCACTCACCTTAAAATTGTGCAAAATAGGTTTAAAGAAATAAACTGGTTTAATGGAGACACACTAACTTAAGGCAGCTTCTCTGCTGTATCAAAATTGCAGTATTGCAGTCCGTTGCAATATTGCATATTTGTTATCAAAACTGCAACGGAAATTCTTTATGTGCTTCATGAGTCACATGATCAACAGCAAGATGTTGCTATTGGCAGAAAAGCTGAAGGCAACAACAGGAAGTAGAGGGAGGATGATTGAGCTGGATTTTTTAAAATGACTTATTGCATGAACAAACTTATTAAAATGTGATTTTAATCACAAATGTCATCGTTTAATTGTTGAAACAATTTTGTAATTGTTTCAACAATTGCAAAAATGAAAAATTATGAGTAGAAACATAAAAAACTAGTCACATATTATTTGTATTTCCATTAATGGATATTGAGAATCGTATAAATATAACTGGTCCGACACATTGTCTTCCAGGAGTATAAATAGTTATTTTTTTTGTTTTTCACAGCCTTTTGCATCATTTCAGACGTACTAAACGGAGATCTGGGCGGCTTGGCCCATTGACTTTGTCAAAGTATGCAGGTTGTTTAATAAAATATGATCCTGTGTTTGTATGACTTTAAACTTTCGGATGATTTTGTGGGCGTGATTAAGATCATGTGTTTGACCTTAATGAAACCTGATGTATTTGTTGCCATTTCTAAAATGCTCAGACATCCGTTGTTTCCTGTTGTGCATAAATAAAAAAAATTCTGCACAGATTCCTCAGTTTGCTGTTATGATCTAAGAGAATATTTCAAATGTATTGCAAATGAAAAATGTAAAAATATGTGAACATTTTGGATTCAGTTGACCATATCAGAGTGTACAGTGATGTACACGAACTGCGGCCTGATTTAGGATTGAGAATCACTGGGTTAGTGAAAAATGAGGGCACAAACTGGCAAAGAGCTGAAATTATCCTGGGATTTATTGGTCAAATATTATTTCTGAATGCAGACTATGATGCTTTAGGTCAGTAATGACGTATTTCACCTTCAAGATACTCAGCAAATCCAAATGAAGGTAAAAAGGATTTTGAGCGGTGTTTACTCTGTGATCTGATGACTTGTTGCAGCGCTGAATGAACTTTGATCATTTTTCAAAGCTTTCTCTAAATGAAATGCTTATTCCTGAATTCTGCAGACATTTATCCTTTCCTGTCTGAAGCCTTTCCACAGGCCGACTGCTTACTGTCGGCTTACTCAACACTTTCTACGTTTAAAACACACATGGCGTCTATTTTCAGAAACTTTCCCTTCTTCTGGAATAACTGAAAAGTACCAGATGCTCAAATATATATGGATAGAAAATCTGAGTTTTTATCTTAATGTAAATCTTTCAGATAAATTAATTACACAATGTAAAGTTCTATAATATTTATTATACACGTTTATGTAATCCTTAATTTATTTCTGACTTACTGAATAAGTCAAATACAGGAGGATTTTCACATAAGCCTTTTTATTTACCAATAATATTTATATTTTTAAGGTTTGTCACAGATGACAATAAGGCTACATGTCGCTAACATAAAAACATATCAACTATTAGAAATAGTAGAAGTACAAGAAGTTCTGACTTCTCAGGTGTTTAGGCTGTTACAGCTCACTAAGTTACAAACAGCTGTTTGGTCCAAAGGGATTTATTTGACCTCAAACCAGATTTATAAATGATAAAGCAGCTATATATAAATCTATAATGTAAAATGTTGGTCGGGTTCTTACCGTGGTTTCGTCCTCATGCAGAACCTGGTCGTAACCACTCAGAGCCACGCAGAAAATGATGGCCGTCACATCTTCAAAACAGTGGATCCACTTCTTCCTCTCCGACCTCTGACCTCCCACATCAAACAGCCTGCAGGACAGCAGAAACAAACACATACAGCTAAATAAAAGCTTGTGTAGCTGCAACACTGTCTGTCTTCCCATTTTGGCTTCTAAAAACTCAGTTCCACTCTGGAACCTGTTTACACTGATTATTTGTGCTGTAAATACGTTAATGGACTGAAACACCTGAAGGATCTGCTCCAATGTGAACATAAAGTGTCAGGAACATGGAGCTAATTCTCCATTAGCAAGTTGCACATCAACTAAATTCACATGACTGCTGGAGAAGTTGGACAAAACACTAAATTGTTAAACAGCAATTCCAAAAGCAACATTAAGCAAACAAAGTTAAGCTGTCTTAATTTGAATAATGCAGCAGACAGAATTACTGAAACTCAAGTAGAGTAGAGAATAAAAACACAGTTGACCTGTTCATCTGGACAGCTGAGTTTAAAGATTTTTGAGACTTTTGGAGTCTTTGCTCTCGTCTCAGTCAACACTGGAGTTCCAGCATGAAACCCCAACTATTCTGCCTTCATCTCAAGCTGATGGTTAGGCTCAGTATATCTGATGCTTTCACAGTCAGGTGTTCCACATTAAAACATTAAGGGGAGGCACAAACAAGAATCCTTAAAAGCCGAACCATTAAAGGCAACATTAATGGAGGTGTATGCATTTCTTTGAGCCTGAATGCATATATTTGACTGTATGTGGTTAAGAAAAAAAATCTCCTGTAAATTTAAGGCTCTGAACAAAATCGCTGCCATGATTTATTTTCTGCAGAAAGAATTGAATTATAGAGCAATTATAATTTTATTATAACTTTTTTCCCTCATTTTAAATGTTCTTGTAAAACCTGTAAAACAGATACGCATATTTTTATAGGGACTAAAGCTTTGCAGTCCTGCAACTTTGAGCTGGAAAAACCAAAACCTGGTTGGGTTGCTGGTGAATCCAACTATGAAGTGTTTGAACCCAGAGGAAAATGTCTAAACAACAGATGTTATCCATTACGTCATTTTGCCCCAGCAGAAAATCACCCAGCCTCACTGTGTTGTGTTTTTGCGGTGTTGGGAATGAGAGGCCTGAGTCCGGAGAGAAACGGAGCCAGCCATGTGTGTGACGGGTCCCACCCGTTACAGGAACAGAGGAGCCTCCCACTCCCCGCATGACTACCAATAATAGCAGCCCAGCTGGAAATCTGCAGGATGAACCTCAGAGACGCAGCGACGGCGCATCAGTGGAAACCTCCAACCAGCAGCACAAAGATGCTTCTAAGCCTTTCGTGGTAAATCAACTCATCGCATGACAAATTAGAAATGCTCCCCTTTAAAATATTTGAAAAGTCGACATTTTAAGAAATGCTGCAAACATTTGACAACCAGTTTGAAGTTTGCACTACTTGTTAAAGCCCAATGATGATGATGATGATGATGATATTTTGTGAAATGCAATTTTAGTTTGAAAGACTTCATTATCCGTCTTACTTATTGTGGTTTCAGTGTTTTTGTGTCTATTTTGGATATTTAAAGTGTTTTCCAGTGTTAAATATTCTTTAGAAATTAAAATGTATTCTTATTTTTATTATATTAGTTGAAATGGTCTGAAAATCTAAATATCTTTAATCACAATCATTTCTGTATGAAAGAGGATGAAGGCCACTGTAAAAAAAAAGAAAGAAAAAAGAATTTTGACTTTAATTTTCTGCCATAAAAAGTCAAAATTCTGAGATCAAATTCTGAATTTTGAGATTAAAGTCCAAATTTAAGATTAAAGTCCAAATTATGAGGATACATGTCAGAATAATGACATTAATACCATTTTATTGGTCCTAATTCTCTTCCATATTTCAGCAAATATGGAAGAAGATGTGTTATTGTGACTGGCCTCCGTGCATCTTTAACTTCGATTTGTTGATGAAAACAGCAAGAAAGAGACATAATGATGCATCCATCCAGATAAACAATGATCCTTTAACAGTTTACTAACCCGCCACTCTAAATGTTTGAGTTGCTTTAGAGAATATGCAGCCGAATTATGACAAAATCTCATCCTCTCCATTTCTCGCCTGGCCTCTCGCTCCCTCCGCTCCGTGCTCTAATTGAATCTGACCTCGTTAAAGAGCCAGAGAATCATAAATATAGATACTTGTTTAAACCATCGGATCTAATTAATTACAGAGCGGAGTTTCTGTGGTGTGAGTGGAGTGGGGAGCAGGGGGACTTGCTCTGGGCCATCCCAACCTGAAGTGAAGGTTTTTGAAGGTGAAGTGCGTCTCGACGATGCCTGTGGTCTTCACTCGGGTCCGGAGGATGTCCTGCTCTGTGGGCTGGTAGTCGGCCGCACCGATCCGATCTAGGCTGTCGAGGTAGCTGCACACACACACACGCACACACACACAGAGGAAATGTTAAACAGCAGCAGAAGATCAAACTACTCTGAACACAAAACTTACACAAAACACATCCCAAATATTAGGCAAATTCAACATCGACAGACTTTGTTAACACATTATTTTGACTTTATTGTCACATGACTTTATTCTTGTATTACTTGTAATAAGGCTTTACTCTCATCTTTAAAAGAGAAATATTATCGGGTTGACATGAATTCAAAATCTAAATAAATAGAAGCTGTGAAACAAGATGGTGGACGTTTTTACTCTGAGTTGTGGAGACACAATGAGGGCACTGGTGAAAAAAATTCAGATATTCCAAAAATCAAATCTTCAAAAACTATAAAATCAACTCATCGCCCAGCCCAATGTGTACATCATGGTCATTCTGTTGTAACATAAAGCCATAAACTTTTGTGTATTTCAGAGTTCTCTGTAATGTCTCTACATTGTCTTGATCAAAACATATGCAGACTTTCTGAAGCTCTTTGAAAAATGTTCTTTGTTTTTCTACAAATTGTTTTAGTCCAGTCAAAGTCCTTCTAAAAAAAAAAAGATAATATTCAAAATGACTTCATTATGTTCACTGTACAGATGCTGGTCGATCGGATGCAGATAAAACAGAAAGAACGACTCTGGGTGGTCTGACCTACTTTCCATGACATCAGAATGCTGGTGATGAATATTAGTGGCTCAGGTGGTTTATAGGTAACATTACATAACAGTGATAATATCACTCCTACCTACTACATTACTGTCACTGTAAGTGTAGTTAATGTGCTTCTTTCAGAGGTTCTGCAACATGCCGGGAAAATCCTCTCAGTAGTAAAACAGATGGGCTGATCTTACCTGAAAAAGCTTCATCATCTTTATTGTATTTCTCACAAAGGAAAAGCAGTGTTTTTCAAATTTAAAGTGCAAAGCATTATTTATATGTACCGCTCCTGCAGGTGCTGAGCTATCTGAATGTCTAAATTACATCCTTGCCAGTGAGCAAAGTGAGCAGCTGCTTGTTTAGAAGAGAAGAAGAAGAAAGGCAGGGAGGATGAGATGATTCTGTTGACTTGTGCAAAGGCATATCCCTGGAAGTGCACCTTTATTTTTACTGCAAATCAAATGATCCTGAACAGAGGCATGCAGAGAAGCATTCCAGCGGTGCATGGAGTGCTGCTCTCACTTTCGGCTGCAGTAGTAATACCCAGCAGTAGTTTTTCGTCATGCTAACTGCCTGGCGTTGTGTTGTAGTTGTAGCATTACTGCAAGTTTCTGATTCCCCTCAAAAAAACCAAGAAAACATTTTCTGCTGGACTTTCTGGCCTGGCTTTGTTTCTCCGAGTTTAAATAGTGCAGAAGTTTCCTCCCCAAATCAAAGATACACATGGTTCCTGGTCGCTACAGACTTCCTGTATTAAACCTGAACCCTCAATTAGTGGGAACTTGCAGAAGGTTTCTGGTCAAGCGACCAGGAAAAACAGGAGAGGTTTAGTCTGCAGTCATGAACACCTTCAGTCAGACATCGTTCAGTCTGCAGGCCAGCAGCAGCAGTCTGGGTGGTCTGACTGCTTTTAACGCCGCTCAACTCACGCTCATTATTTCTTCATAATTAAGGCAGATTGATGGCTTAATGCATTTTTCCACATTAATCTCCCCCAAATGAATTATTAGGACTGAAAAACTTATTTTGTTTTTCAGGCATTCACCTCATCATAACCTACCATGAATGTTAAGGCTAATTAGCATAACCACAGATGACAGATAAAGTGTTTTCCTTGTTTCTCTGCTATTAGCACACTGAGCAGCAGAGACAGGAGGGTGATTGACAGCGCTAAGATCCTCCTCCTGACTCTGATTGGTTGTTTTCGGGGTCTGCATTTTCGCTGACCACAACAACAGCAAGAGTTTGATTTTTCACAGCTTGCCCGTCTCATACGACATGGTGACTGTTTCAATAAAAATGGAAAAGAAAACTGCAGCTTTAAGATCAAATTTAAAAAGCTAGTGACAGATCAGTTTAGATCAACATAAGCAAAAATATTGATTACTAAAAATTAAACGGTGGTTAAAAGGACCCAAACTGTTTCCGGAATCAATCAGGGTTTATTCGTCTCTTATTCTCCTCACAGTTTTCTTCTAAAAATTTCTGAGGAAGCAAACATAACAAATCACTTCTCCCAAACAACCAAACATGACCGACGCTCTCCATCAGCAGAGGTGAACCCTGAAGTACGGACTGAGAGAAGAGATGAACACGATACGCACTCAAACGTAATGGATATAATGCTTCTTTATTTTTAGATTGGTGATGTTCTTTTAGGGCTAGCGGACACACAGTTACTTCAAAAGAAAAAAGATAAAGGCTCGAGGGAGAAGATATGTTGACAGAGTAAGAAAAGGCAGACGGAAAACACACACGAGCACACACAGCTTCGCTGATGAGAACTATTGATTTTAGAGGAAAATATTGGTTAGATTGTGGTTTGAAAAGGAAGAATATGACGAGCTGGTCAGGAGGAGATGAAGAAAACGAGAAGCAGAAAGCACTCTTTACCTCCTGAGATCCAACTGGGCATTAATCTGCAACCACAGTGTGTTTTATGGAATGAAAATGAACGCAAACACGAACCACATCCCACACTCACTGGGCTCTGTTTGCTCCCAGTGAGTGTGAGTGGACAGGATTAATGACGACTCGATGCTGAGGCAGGTTTCAATTTACAAAGTGAAATGGCAATGATTAGATTACAAAGCAATCAAACAACCCACACATTCTTAGCATTAATGCAACAGAAGGAAGGGGAGTTAAATTGAAAAGAGAGTTAAGAATAAATTAAAGCTGCAAGCAGTGAAATCCATCCAGGTTTGACGTCGGATCAGAAGAATTTATTTTCAGACTTTTCAGGTGGCAGAAACGTGAAGAAAATTATTTTATGATGCGTCAAAAACACTAACAGATAGAGTCTGGAGCAAAGAGTTTGTAGCATCATTGGTATTTTGTGTAAATCTGCTAAGTGTGGCAGGCATGTATTCAACCTGCCCAACTCCATTCTTACTAAAACCAGCCTTCACTGCTAATATGAGAGTAAGTGTTTGGGAAACGTCTCTGCTAGATTTGCACATCTAGAGACTGAAACGTTTTCCCATTTCTCTCTCCCAGATGTTTCAAACTGAGTTAGATTGAGGAGAAAAGCTGTCGGTAAATCCTACCGAGAATCTTTCAACAGGATTTAGGTCTGAACTGTAAAACTTTAAAAACATCCTCATGATTTGCTCTGAAGTTTCGTTTTGTTTTCAGCTGACCAGAGTAACTTCTGCCTCCTGTTTGCGTCTGCTGCTGTTTGTTTGTTCACTAATGTTCTCTATCAAACTCTGAAACATGAAAAAGTCAAAGAGTTCTTAGTAATTTTGCAGGCTGATGTACAATGTGTGACAAACTCTTACAGTTACAACAATAGATGCAAGAAATGTTTCCTCTGTCCATCGACTGCAGTGAGCAGAGTAACTATGAAGGCTATCAGTCTATTTCTACAACTCCAGTTGTTTGATAATTGAGTTAGAAAGGTCAGTCAAAGGTCAGTAATTGTTTCGATTTATCCATTTGTCTTCCACGACCTTTCCTGTGACACGCGGCTGACCCCTCTGTGCTGCTTCTGCTTGCCGTTCCCCCTGCAGCCACTTCTCGCCGCGCTGAACTTGCACTAAGACTCATGTCAACATTATTTTATGCTCAGCATCGTTGTCCGCCTCAGGACTCACACACAGACAGCAACGTAAATTACATTTAAACCAGGCTGGAAAGGGATGATAAGTTTTCCGTCTGGTTTCTGGATGACATATAGTATGTGCACAACTGCTGCATTAGTCTTTCCTCTCAGACTGATATTTCTCAACATGGCGCATTAAGTTGATTAACTCCAGACCCCTGAGTGTGCTCGCCTCATTTCATTGGTGATGTGCAGAATTATAGAAGAGAAGTGGATTTAAAGCCCAGAGAGGTTTTTACTGTTCAAGCTGAGCAGCCAATTGGTTCAAAAGCTAATAAATGTTCATTTGGAGAAACAAAGTTTAATTTTCTGTAATTATTAGCAGTCCACATCCCATCCTTTGACTTGGAGGAGTCAACCATTTATGGTATAAGAATGATCCCAACCGCTCTGTAAAATTTCAGATGGCTGAAGCATTTAGAAAACGATTTGAACTATTCCAGTTTATTTTGGTTGTCCAGAATCCTCTTTCCTTTCCGAAGCTCTTTTTTTCTCCAGCATGTAAACTGAGAAGCTTGACTTTGTCTCTGACCCAGTTCTGTGTTTATTTGGTGGTATGATTTGATTGACTCTCCAGGGCGGTCTTATGTCACCGATCCTGTTCATGGACAGCGTCTCAAGGCGATGTCGTGGAGAAGAGGCCGTCTGCTTTGGGAACCGTAGGGTCTTATTGTTGCTGGTTCCAGATGAAGTTGGCTTCACCTCCAGTCTGAACTGGAGTGGTTTACTGGTGAGTGTAAAGTGGCCGGGATGAGAGTCGACCACCTCTGGGCTGGGGTTCTGCCTCAAGCACAGCAGTTTAAAGGAGACTCATTATGTAAAACTCACTTTTTGCGGATCTTTGTTCTTCCATTTGGGTTTCTACTGCTTCTAAAAATACACAACTGTTTTTTGGTGTTAGGAAAAATACATTTTTCAGAAACCTCCAGAATGTAACCTCACAAATCAGCAGGCGCTGCACCGTTACCTAGCAACCCCAACTGAGCTGCAGGTCATCTGGTCAGGTGGTACAATGGCTGCTGGAAATAATAACAGCTGTTGTTGACTAATTGTTCAGAAACCACTTTCTTCATTCGAAGGTGCATGGTTATATAGTTGTGCATTTGTTTTTAGTCATTTTAACAAGCAAGTGTAAATGTTGAGCTGGGGGCGTGGCCAGCAGCAGCTTAATGGTACTTAAAGTGACAGAGACCCTAAAACAGTTCATTCTGAAAGGAGCAGAGCTAAAATATCATTATCCAAGAATCATTCTGTACAAAAATAAAAAAAATTATAAATAGGCATGTATTGCTACACCTCCAAACAGGAGCTGCCTAAAGAAACCTTATATTAGCTTTTTAATGCTTTAATTTGATTGACAGCACTAGTTTTTTTTATACCATGCTGTCATAGGTTGCTTTTTGAGATACTGTATCTACTTCCTGGTTTCAGGTGATTTTGTGATTGATCAGACCTGACAGTAAATGTGGCTCATGGAAGTTAAGACATGATGTAACAAGGAAGCAATAATATTTTCACAAACGGTCAGGTTGATTGGATAGATTTGTCTTTCAAAGCATAAGCCATCATTTGGAGACTCCATTTTACATTTACTCCGGTTATTCTGCCTAAAATAATAAAAACAATCTGGAGGGGTACATCTGTAATACTTTTTCAGGGCAAAGTATGTGACGTTTCTTCACATAATTGTTTAAAAGAAGGTCGCCACAAATTCATGGCTGTTGCTTCGTAACCAGGGTTGGGAAGGTTAGATACCACCCTCAGGAAATCTGTGATTTACTGACACAGATTTCCTTGTGACTTCTTTAGAAGCGACAGAAAGTAACATAATAAAACCACAGAGCAGCATGAAGAAGAAAGGTTTCTGCAGCATAAGGAGACCAAAGCTGTTTCCCATAATGATGGTTTTTCTAAAAAAACAAAAAAAAAAACAAAAAGAATTGTAAAGTTTCTTACACCAATTTACAGCTGCAGCATAATCACCTTCAGAGGCACTGCAGTATTTAAAGTGGATCTTCTGCTGTGTTTAGCCCCAAAACAAAAAGACTAATTCAAAATCTTTTGCAAACAACTCAAACTGCATGTTTTCTTGCCTGTGCGTGGATTGTTAAATATTGCCAACTCAGAGAATTTAGCTACCTCATGTGGCATTTTTACATAATTCTCAGTGTGCGTACGTGCATGTTGTGTGATCGCCTTTCTAAACTATGGCCGTGTCACAAGGCAGGAATGTAAATCGCAGATGGAGTGTACAGTATGTGCATTGTGGTAAATAGGTCAGGACACTCAGGGCCTTTGCACACAAACACAGAGGTGGCTTCAGGCAGGACCTACTCCTTTCACACCGTGGCGTTCTGCTTTCTATGGAATAAAAACACGCATTACATGCATGTATGATTACCAAACCTGCACCATGCACAGAGATACCGCTTACGTCTCCAATAGTCATAAGAGCAGAAAGTTTTGATCACAGCTGATCTCTGGTTCACTGAAATATCATCAGATTTCTGGGGTTTCTCAGGAAAGATGCACAAACGCACGCTTGTCAACCGTTTGTGTGGTCTGGTCATGTGATGTCTGTCCTATCGTTTCATTGGCTGGGAACTGTGCTCGATTGCACAGGCCTCAATATAATAGGAAGTGTGCATCAAACTTTAATGTGACATTAAACACACACACACACAGTGATAAATAAGCTGCAACTAAAAGGTTCACCATCAGTTTGGACACAAATTTCATGTTTTCACCACGTTTTAATGGCTTTTACCCCAAAATGTTATGCCAATTTCAAATGCATTGATGTTCTTCACCTCTTCTCTGACCATTTATTTTGTTCAGTAAGTACTCTCCCTTCTCCTTTATTGTACTGTAAAGCTTTGATTCTTGTTGTGAATGAAATGATCTGGGCTTCAGGACATCTGATCAACTCAAAAATCTGAGATCTGCAGAAAACCAAGAATTAAAACAGGTATAGAAAGAAGAAACGATGTTAACAAGGAGAGATGTGCTTTGATACGGTTATTGTTGTTGCTCTAGTTGAAGCTTTAATTATTTACTCATTATTTATTAATTCAATTTATGGAAATCTGATATGCGATTTAAAAATATTCTACTGTTCGTCAAAACGGTTCATGATCACTTCAACAGTCAGATCTTTAAATGGTTCTGCTACAAACAGCGAAGTTATGTTTAATGTGAGACCGTTTCAAAAGCAGAAACAGGTCTAAAGCACAAGGCATTCTGGGTAAATACAACCAAAACTAATACACAAAATGGCTCGTGACGTTCTACCAAAGACAAAAGAGATTTCCTAAACTAAAATCTGACACCACCCTATTTTTGTTTACACTTCATGAACAAGAAAGTTGTGCTCAAACCTCTGACTTCTTCAGAGGTTTTTGTGCCGTTTTCTTTAGAAGCTGTTGATACGGCGCCACCACAGGAGAGGAGGGGTTACATCTTGCTCAAAGTTCTTACAGGAGAATAAATCTCAAATAAATGTTAAAAATGTTGTCTGGCAATAGTTTTACCAGTAAAAAATGACTGTTTCAGGAAGAAGGCAAACACAGGAAGTGAAACATCACCCAAAAAGCGCTCACAAGTGAAGAACAGATTTAGAAACATGGACGTACTACTGCGCTGAGTCGTTGAGCTGGTACTCCCGGGCGCGGCTGAAGCATTCCTGGATGCCCGAGTCGGCCCACAGGCGCATCATGGCGCCCAGCAGCTCAGCGGAGTACGGCTCTGTGTCTTCCATACGACTGACGACGTCACACACCATCTTAGCGTCCGCCTGCAACACGAACACAAAACAGAAAACAATTGGTTAGCATGCTGCAAACTCTTTCTAAGAAATGACACAAGCCCTGAAAACAGTGGAACATGTGCAATTATTGAACAAAGCCACCTAACAGAGCTGCTCTTACAGAGGCATCACTCCAGATTTATTTTTATCACTCTTCATTGTGGGCATACCTTAAAATAATAATAATAATAATGACAATAACACTGGACATTCAGACTGAAGTGGCTGTTGAAAAGCTGCACATACAGAAGATCCAGAGGGCTGGAAATAGACGGAGCTCTCTGGCATCTCGCTCAGCCTTGCAGAGGTTTGTTTTTAGGTTGTTGTCATGCAGCTGTGATCCGGCCGCGCTTCCCTTCAGGGCCAGAGGCTGCTGATCCGCTCCGGGCTCCTTCCACACAAAGACACTCCAACGCAGCACTTCTCACCGAGTCACAATATCACAAACCGCTCATGTGATCACAAACACCCGACAACGGAGTGTCAATCTGCTACACTTGAAACCTACAGATGTTTATGTCTTCATGTTCATGGTTTAGATTAGAAGAAGCAAAATATTCCAAAAAAAAAAAGACAATATAGACAGATTTTCTTTTTAAAATCAGTCTTTCTCAAACAATTTTGGTTTGTATGTGAAATAACAAGCCAAAAAACTTAATTGCTAAATGCATTCAGTACGGGGTTAAACGTTAAAAACACCCATAATTCATCCGTTTTCCTTCTCTAAGCAGATGTTAAGGTCCTTAAAAACTTCTCCAGGTCTTCTCGGCATTTTCAAAAACTTTTTATTCCTGTTTGGATGCATGTTTATTTCTGTCCAGATATTTAACTTAACCATGAAACTGTTTGATGCTCAAGTTTCACTCGTATTTGAAAAGAGTTATTCAGTAGTTACATGTTTGGTATCGTCAATAGACCTTTCCTAACCTGTTCAAGGACTAATTATAGGCCACTTTTAAAGCACCGATTTTCTAAAAAATATTTGGAAACTCAATTTTGCCTAAAATCATTTAAAAATCTGTAATGGCAAACCTGTAATACTTTCCAGGGTACTGTATGTGATATTTTACATAAATGTTTAAAAAAAGTTCACCACAATTTTATAAAAAAAAAATTCTGCTAATTTTATATATTTAAAAAAAAATATATGCATTAAGATCCATTAAAATGGGCATGTGCTAATAAGAGCTTAAACATTGGGATTATTTTACTAAAAAAATGTAAGAAAGGATGCAGTGGTTCTGGAATCGTCCAAACTTCCGTGAAAATAAACATTCCTGGTTTAATCCGTTTTCCCAACACAAATGTGCACGTCAGCAGCGAAGGCGATCAGATTTACACAGCTTTTGTTATCTGAGTCGGCGACGCTTTAGATTTACACACCACAGTGAAAAACAAACAGAACGTACAGCAGAAAATACTGAGTTACTATGAACGTGAAATAGGGAACCCGGAGCAAAATAAAGACATAACACAGCGACAGGAGATAAATATGCATTAAAATCCACATTAGACCCAATAACTGCTGTCACTAAAACAATACATCATTAAGCTTCACATCATCAAACTCAGCATGAAGCCAGTGAAGCGGTATAGTGTGTCAGATTTGGAGCCGATTTTCATTGAAATGTAATTATAGCCAGACATTATAATTAGATTGTGCAGCACTCAGGCTCGTATTACAGCACCTGAAGCCAAGGTCTGTGTGAAGTCTGACATTCTAGAAAATTTACCAGCAAAGTGACTGAAACTGAGCACAGAGGTGATTTAAACACAGCCGCTCTGATGAACTCATGGGTCGCCCAGTTTAACCCCAAATCAGAGCCACAAGCTGTAAACGGCTTAATAAGCAGCTTTTCTTTTCTCTTTTGCACTTTTACCTTCTTCTGTTGCATCACTTCATTTGCTGCCGGTAGATCATTAACAAAGGCTTGTACCATCATAACACTCCAAGTGCTTCTTTACTGAAACTCTATTCCCAATTGATAAAACTCAACAAGTCAATTCCAGATTTTTTTGAACACTGCAAAAACACAAAAGCTTACCTCGTATTTCTGTCTAGTTTTTAATGCAAATATCTAGAAATTAGATCAAACTACCTTATAAGTTTCATTTATTGTTTGTTTCATTCTGTAATTAAAGAATGACTCCTATTCACAGAAAAATATAATTAACTATTTAACTCAGAAGACTATTGCAAATATATTTCAAATATACACAAAAGATCAACAAAAAAAATTATTCCATAAAGCGACACCTTTTATTGAAAAGCATCTTTCCAATGTCACTAAGTCACTTTATATCAAGACACACTAACTTGTTTTAGTTAATTCCATAAAATTGATGGAATAGCATTAGCTCCAGATTATGTCACTAATAACAAAACATTCTTCCCTGGGTATAAGTGGAATTAGAAGTTTTTAATCAATATTAAGGAAATATTTGCTTAAAATAAGCTCTTACATATTGCTTTCAAATGTACTAAGATATTTGCACAAGAAACCAAACAAACTATGATTTTGGGTTTTTGCAGAGAAACAGTTTTCTTAAGTTTATTTATATTGCATATTTCAGTGAGAAGACAGTTTCATGTCACTGAATCTGTAAGTGTGGGTGTTTTAACAGATAATACAATTCAACATGAAGGTTACACACTTGAACATGGAGCTGATCCACCTTCAGCTTCGATTACAACACATGTGCATGACTGTGTTGAGTCTGCAGAATGCAGCGCTGCACCATTCATCTGCTGCCAGCATGCTGCTGAGAGACGTCTAAGATTCTCAGTTATGTTCTGGACGCCTGTTCGCCACACTGTTTCTAATATTAACTCGCCTCACTCTCTGAACCAGGGTCTCAGCTCTTTCACATATCAGCAGATCGTGACTCGGTCGGCAATGAGGAATTAATCGAATGAATATTAATAATAATTAAAATCTAAAGTCGCTGACATCACCATTCCACACAATCAGCAGAACTTCTCACATCATTTATTCATTTTAACTTGAAAAAACTTCTGCATGATCTCACATAGTTCAATAACGACCAGCTGAAACCAATGCAGCAATTTTTATAAAACAAAACCTCCATTTATGGTTGACAGCATAGTTTTCAGATTTAATTTAGAACTGCATGATTTAATCAAGATGAACCTGAACAGAACCAGAACAAGAAAAAAGGAGGGACTGAAGAGGAGAAGAAGGAGGGAAGGAAAGAAGGAAGCGTTAGAGGATGAAGGGATGAAGGGAGGACAAGAACAGGAAAAAAGGTGGGACTTAAGGAATTAAACAGAAAGGAAGAAAGAAAGGAGATAAGTAAGTAAGGAAAGATGAACGAACAAAGGAGAAAATTTCAAACTGAAGAGAAGAAAAAAAGAAACAAGGAAAGTTGTGGCGGAAATGACAGGATGAGTCCCAGTTGACCAAGTTGAGCCAGTAGACTGGTTTATCAGAATCCACCCAGAGCTGCCACTCTTCTTCCTCCCTCCATTCCTGTCTCTCCCTCTTCATCTCCATGTGCAAACATGTCACCTCTCCGCCCTGCAGCCAGCGGGCCTCTGGTCCCTCATTAGTAGTCTCCACCGTGTCGTCCCTCTGTCCCTCCATCCTGACCTCCATCTGCACTCGTCCCTCTGTCGTATTGTTCTGTCCTTCATCTGTCTTTCCATTCCAGCTCAGCAACATCTTTGTTTGTTCTCTAATGTTCCTCCCGCTGCATCATATTTCTCCTCCTCTTTTTCTCCTCAGAACTTCTGGGCTGTTTTCAGTCTCTTCTGGCCCGTTTCACCATGCTGTGTTCGGTTTCCCCTCTGCATCTATTTTTGAACACCAGCCACATTCACGATGACTTCCTCCTCTCCTTTCAATCAAATCTGTCTCTTCCCTGCTCGTCCTTCCCATCTCCCCTGTCAGTTCCTCTGCTCTACCCATCATGGCAGAGATGAACTCAACTCTGTTCTGCTGTGTAAAGTCATTTTTCAAACCTGTCACCAAATGCAGCATGTTAGTTTATGTTAGTATTTCAAACTGAATGTCTAAAATGCCAACTTTTAATTATGTCAAAAAGATTTAACATTTTCACTGAGACAAGATTTAATAGTTTACAGAGTTTCCACCAAAGTAGCTTATCATGTTATGCATCATGTTTACCGTATGAACAATAAGGTTCTGTATTTGCAGATTAACTTGTTTGTGGATTTGTCAGGGGAATGTGACTCCAAAATCTGCTGACACAAAAATGTTTTGCAAACCATTTGAGACAAAATGGAGCTCAGGAAACTTTGGTCCAGAAGCATTTTTCTGTTCCTTTGTGCTGATTGGTTGGACCCTCAAGAGCAGAAATAAGGACTTCTGCAGACATTAGCTTTTGGTGTAGTAGAGATGGTTTCCACTGTGTGAATCAATGCATTTTAAGGTATATTTGGTGTTTGAAACATCAAAATAAACATCTACTGTGGCTCAAAGTTGTTCGTTTTGGTGTGGAGAAATTTATTTCTGCCTTTATAAATGTCGCTTTTCTAATCTTTTAAAATAGCAGTTTGAGACATTGCTTTAAGGTCATTTAGCCGATTATGATTGGTTCATCGAGCTTCTGCAATGTGGCAACTGCAGGAAGTTATTGCAGCAATCATCTTGAGTATTGATTTCTTTTAGTGTTGTTAAGGACCTTGGGTGATTATCAGCCAAAGTGATAAAAACATCGTTGCCAATGACTCATATTGTGCCAGAATTCACAAAGCAACATCACCTGGCTGCTGATGTGGGAGGCATATTTCCACTTACTATTTGTGAAATATTAAAGCTAAAGCTTGTTGTCAGGCAACTGTTTTGGCCAGAAACCCAAGAAGTTAATGGAAAAAAATGATTTTAAAAAAATTAAATTCAAGCATTAAGGTACAAAAATGTGACAAAATACAGAAAAAGCCTGAAAACCATCAGATCCAGATTTATAGCGCAGTGGAGTTTCCTCTCATCATTCCATCATAAGCT